TTTTTTCTTTTTGTTGATATTGGTTTTATTGTTGTTATATTATCTAAACGATATCGAGAAAACTGGATGTTTGCTTTTTTGCCGTTTCGTATTCGAGGGAAAGGGATTTTTTTAATTACCTTTTTATTATTAACTATTATTATTAGTATTTTATGTTATTTTATTTATTTTTTTGTGAAACTTGGATGGGATTATTTATTATGAGTAACGTAGTTTTGAATAAGGTGGTGTTTGGTAAATCTTATTTTGATCATTGGAAATATTGTTTAGAGTAGACGTGAGGGAATTGCTACGGTCTCGTTACGGAATTATTTCGTTGGGGTTTGTAACCGTTAAATCATCACGTAACCGTCAAGGATAGATGATCTAACGGCTACAAACTCCAACGGAATGATTTCGTAACGAGACCTTATCATCTCTATATATATTTGCTATTAGATTGTTAATATTCTTTCAGGAAATGGCATGGTCTCATTATGGAATCATCCCGTCAGGTGTTTTAACCGTTAAATCATCTATCTTATACTAACTACATGTGTATCCAACAATTATAATTTCCGACGGGATGGTTCGTAACTGGACCGTAACATTTCCCTATTCTTTTTATCTTAACTCACAAATTGTTGCTGTTAAAATGTTTTAAATGTTATATAATCTTACTACTTTTATGAATCATGCATATTTAACTATAAAGTATCAATTTTTTTTTCCTTATTTTAGTATTCTAAAGTACGATATTCGAGTAAGGAAGTTTTTAAATTTATGAATTTTCATACATTTGTGTATATATTTGAGTAGGTGGATAGATTAAAAATTATAACTATATATAAGCTAGAAAAATTGGTACTATTGTTGTTTATCAGGTGAAAAACATTTCATTTGGGACTCACTAATCGAGATTTTTAGTCTGTTGCATTATTGTCCTCTGTGTAATGTACTGCACGAACAACGTGCATCTTGTACTGTGGGCATGCAATTTGTGTGACATTATTGTTATTATTATTAGTTTTTTTGTGACATTATAAAAGTTAATGAAAAATCCGAATAAGAAGTGGGCCGAAAATATCTAGTTTAGTAAGTTTTGTGATTTATGGATAACAATAATAAATGGAAACCAAATGGGAAGCCCACGATTGGGATGGGCCTTTTTAAAAGTTGGGCTACATCAACAGTTTTGTTCTGGCACGAAATTGAACAAATGGACATGAGGATGGAGAATAGAATTATAGAACGTAAGAAAATTTAATTCAACCTCATTTACGGGAAAATATTCTGTTTTCAATTGCAATTTAAGTAAAAGAAATAATAAGGAAATGGATGGAAATAAAATTAACTAGTATTTAATCCTGTGCATTTGCACATATATAAAACACGTTTTTGTTTGTATTTATTAATTAGACATGTACTTCTATTATATAAAAATTATTATTTTTTCTTAAGTTATTTTTTATCATTCAAAATTAATTGAGACTTAAATTTTATTTTAACTATGCAACGTTTACATTAGTAACATGAATAAAATAATTTATATATTTGTGGTATATATTAAGAAAATTAACATAAATAAAAAAATTATTGGTGTTTCTGATTTTTAGAAAAAAAAAAATATGTGCCGATCATATTTTTATTCCAACAATGCAACCAAATATAGCGGTTACAGCTCCGAATGTGCCAATCAACTTTAAGTTCAAACATTAGCCGTTACACATTTGAACATTTTGCCACCAAATTTAGAATTAATTTAGTAACTGATCCAAAAAAATAAATAATAAAAATATATATTAAGGTGTAATTAGTGAGTAATTAATTAAAAAAAATGTAACTCCTTTTGGAGGGAAATAAAAATAGGTTTTATTAAATGTTTTATTAAATGCATTAGCTAGTAATTATATATATAGATTTGGGTGCAATCGGATGTAAGAAAAAGAAGAAACAATTTTCAGACACCAATTAAAAAAATACACTATTTCTAAAATTAACTGTTATCACATGTTTATTTATAGAATATATTATGTCAGAATTAAATGTTACTCTTTATATCACATTGTTTTAACATTATATAAAATTTATTAAATTTTATACTCAGTCTTCTTGCTTGGAACAAAAATTATAAAAAAAAATAAAAATTTATTTCAATTAAGTTAAAATATTATTTCACTACTTCTTTACAACGGTAATTAAAAGTTAAAATCAAAAGACAAAATTTACTTTTCTGCAAATCCAATTCAAAGTCCAACAAGCCTATAAGGCAGTGTTTTCATGTGATATCCTACCCGTCCACCTCGTGGTCCAATTAGAGGTGTCACGATTCGGATTGGTCCAGTTTTAGTTCTAAAATATGATCAAACTGGACCTAACAGTTAATTTTTTTTCTTGTCCATAACTGGATTGGTTTTATTTTTTAACCGGCCACAATCAAGACCGCGTTGGACGCTCCGGTTTGGCGGTTAACATATTAAATCTAAAATCCTTGTTTTGGGCCTTCCATATTTATTTTTTTAATTTTAGGCTTAATTTTTATTTTTCAATTTTGGGCACAATTGGGCCTAAAAATTAAGAAAAACAATAATAATGAAATAAAAAAATATGCAATTCGCCCACAAACATACAAATACACATTTTCTTGTCTGGTTATGGACAAGCAAAAAAATTAACCGTTATGTCCGGTTTGTTTCATGTGATGTCCTACCTGTACACGTGGTCCAATCATAGGTTTGAGTCATTCTAAGTATACAAATTATTATTATTATTATTATTATTATTATTATTATTATTATTATTATTATTATTATTATTATTATTATTATTATTATTATTATTAAACAAAAAACTGTAAAACAATAAATTTACAAATAGAAATTGAAGATATTATAATTGTTTCTCAGTCTTCTTCTGCGGTCTGCCAAAAGTATTTCCTGCGGTTTGTAACGGTCCAATTGGTGATGTTGACATATATATCTTCAATTTATTATTATTTTTATCAAACACACAGTATCCTATAAATATATGCTATTTCGAGCGATTAAATTAAATGAGCTCGATGCGTTAAGGTTCGAGCTTTGCCAAGCTTGTTTTGCAACTCGAGCGTGTTAAAAGTTGGTTTAGTGAATGAGTCAGATTCGGTAAGTCTCGAAAATAAGAATTCTAATATAATTTTACATAGTTTGGTTCGCAAATGCTCAAAAATAGATTTTTTATGTAATATTTCTATAATTAGGCTTTTTTAGGCTCGAGCTAAATTAATTAATATTAACTCGTTAAAGGCTCGAGATCAGACTCAATTACCATATGCTCGAATTTGACTCAGACTCATTTAGCTCCTTACTTTTTGTAAGAAAATTAAGACCGAATCTACACATGTTGCCAATAAGTTGGGTATTCATCAACTGTTATTGGAGCCCATCTAATCTATGGCCTATTTGACAAAAAATGGGCTTCATCTTTTTCCAGGTCAGTTAATTAAATCTACAATCTAATAATTTCTAAATGGCATTGCAATTTGTGAAAATTAAGAAAAAGCTAAAAGCATTATCTTTTTATTTAATACCAAATAAATAGTGATTATAATATTTTAGGTATGCATTACTATTTTGAGCATAAAATTGGGCCTAGTTACATGTTTTGTCATTTCTCAAAAAATAAAATATGTTAAACATCTTTATATATCAAATTTTAAACTAAAATTTTTTTCTAAAAAGGAATTATGGCTGCAAACGAGCCGAGCCGAGCCGAGTCGAGCATTGGTCTTATCGAGCTGGATTAAATTTTTTTAGTTGCTTAAGCTCGAGCTCGAGCTCGTCGAGCTCGATTTATGAGGCTCGAGCTCGACTCGAAAATTTTTAAATGAAATTACCATTAAAAATTTGTGTTATATTATTTAAATATATATATAAGGGGTATTTTAATAATTAAATATATGTCGAGTCGCTCGATAATGCAAATTGTGGGTTCGAGGCGACTCGAGTTCGGTCAAACTCAAGCTCGAGTCTAATTTTGACTCGAGCAATCGCGAACAGCTCGTGATCCGCTATGCATTTCAATTCGTGCAAAAGGTGGTACCTTTTTGTGGTTTGTGAATAAATGAAGGCTTAAATAGAAGGGACACTTCTTCTAAAATCCCTAATCCCTTTTTCTAAATTCCTTGTCAGTCCCTTCTCTATTTTTTTTTTTCCTCTACACTCCCCACCCCCTTAATTTTCTTCCTCCTAACTCCCTAATGTTAAATTAAATCAAAAATAAAATAAATAATGACATCATCCCACTACAATTTACCTTTACATATTATTTTATTATTTCTCTCTCCTTCCACTATTAACTTTTCTAATTTTTTATTATTTTTCTTTTTTTCTTTCTTCTCCACATATTTTTTATTATTTTCTTTTTATCATCTTCACTATTTATCTCTTCTACCATTAATTTTTCTTAATTTTTTAGTAATTAGTATAAATTTAGTTTTGTATAAATTGTTCAATTAAAAAAAAATATATTTTGCTAATCTTTATTTCATATAAATTTATATTATGCTAAATCTATAAATCTGTATTTTATGTCGTTCAAATTTACTAACTAATTTTATAAAATTAAATTATATAATTTAAATTTTATTAAAAATTATTTATTCAAAAACCTATCTAATTTTCAAGAGAAATATGTATCAACTAGTACGATACATGTGTACTACACGGGTACATAATTATATTAATATTTTTATAATAGAAAAACTAAAATAATTTATAATTTTTGTATTGTAAAATTATGTATAATGAATATATAAAAATTATGAATAACTAACATAGTAAAAATTAACTCAAAATGGAGTCCGTATTTTTGCACTTAATTTTTTTATTTTATATAAAATTTATGATACCACGAATTTCAAATGTTTATTTTATGGTGTATTACTGAGTTAGATTTTTATTATTTTTGTTATAAAATAATTTATGTTGTATTCATATTGTTGAAATTATTTTTTTAAATAAGTTTATGGTGATTCTCAAACTTAAAACCGGACATGTATATGTAGGAATATATGCCTAAAATAGTGTATTGATTATTTTATGACAAGTTATTATAGGAATATGCTGAAAATTGAGAATTATATCACCTTGATTTTATAACAAATCAACCTAAAATTCGACCTTCATACATATACCAAATAAAATTCATACCACTTATTTTATTTTCAAAATCATATACAACTCTAACCACACCAAATAAAATTCATATCATTTAAATTTGGACATTTAATGCCAAAATAAAACCTCCCTCATCTTATTAATCATGATTCGACATTATTTTATTTTAAAATTTAGTGTCATATAATATTACTAAAATATTTTTTATAATTAACAACTCAATTTTATTATATGCAAATATATGATATTTCTAACAAACAAAATTTTATATTTTAATAGCTTACGCAACACGAATTTCTAATTAGTTGCATAGTATAAGAGGCAAAACGCAATGAATTACTTAAATATTTTAAAACACTAAAAGGAATATAATTTTAATATAAATGGCCATTAAGGCAAGATTATATTATTTATTGTGAAATCCCATATGCCAAGGACTAAAATTTTAAATATTTATTTATTAAAATTTAAAAGGTTCAAATTTTTTAAAGTTAAAAAGTTAAATTTTAAATATTTATTTTAAAAGATAAAAGTTAAATTTTAATTTAATTTTAATCTAAATATGTGATAACATTAAAATATAAACTATTTAAAAAAATAAGTTTATTTATTTTTAAATAAAATTTTAGAAAATATTTTTTGTGAATAAAATTTAAATTTTGGGAAAAGTTAAGAATATAAAAATGTAATACCCGAAATATTAT